CCAAATAGTCCCGATGCAATAGAGTTTAAGAAAAACTTGGAACAACTTCAAGGAAAAAAATCATGACTTCATTTTATCTACATTATCTTTAAAAACATGTGTGGATATGAATGTCAATCTTCTTCTAATCCAGGCATCAACACTTTCTCCAGGCAAAATTCTTGAATTCTTTCCTAAATTTTTTTTTTTTTGTTGAAACTTCTGACCGCTTGTTTTGATTCAATTGTAGTTCCTTTGTACATCAACATGATTATCTTCTCTCGCTATTATTTTATAATTACTATAAGCATTTCAATAGAATACACGAAAAACTAAAAGATACATGCATTAAAAAAAATGCACGCCTTTTTACATAGAATACAAAAAAGAAGAAATAAACAACATTTACAATAGTAAATAAAAAGCAGAAACGTACGTAATATTAAACATAAGAAAAATTAACTGTCATTGAGTGGTGATGAATAGTTAATGTTCAGACGTCCATATATATATATGTGTGTGTGTACACAGATATCAAGTATACTATTTGTCTTTCAATATCAGTTAAGAATCTTGTAATAAAAAACAAATACACATAGTTTCAACTTCAATATAAAAAAATATCTTTCCTGATCAATCAAGAAAAACAAGAAATAACGTCGACTAGTGTCCTCTCTGATGCACATTGACTAGCTTGTGATATTGAGTTACTGATAAAAATAAAACGAAAAGACCATATTGCATCCTATCATAAGCAACGAACAGGTAATATGAAAAAATAAAGTACATATCATCCTTGTTCTACTATCATAAGACATGATATTTTGACCTTCAGATTAATATTTATTTTAAAACAAATTTCATACAAAATAAAATCAATACTTCTTTTTTTTTTTCTGTGTGTATAACAACGATATTTATATCATTATAATAAAATTTTGTTTTAATTTCACATATGGACTACAAATCATCAGTTCAAAACAATGAAAAAAAATTATCTGTTAGTACACATGATAATGAAAATAAAGAAAATATAACACTTATTTGGTTTGATCCAAATATTGAATCATATGAAGAGATTGAAAAAATTAAAAATCAACTTCGTCTTATTAATGATTATGTTATTGTTTGTACTGATTTTGATCAATGTATTAGATATATTGAATCTATTCATAGAGAAAAAATCTTTTTAATTATATCAAATTTAATAACATTAGAAATTTTATCACAAATTAATTCTTTTATTCAAATTGATTCAATTTTTATTTTTTCTATAAAAAAAGATCAAGATAAAAATTTATTAAATGAATATAGAAAAATAATTGGAATTTATATTAATTTTGATGATTTAGTTGAATCAATAAAAGAAGAAATTGATTTTATTAATAATCAAATAGAAACATTTTGTATATTTGATCAATATCAAATTTTAACAAAAGATTTATCAAAAGAATCAGCAAAATTTTTTTTATTTCAATTATTTAATTATGTTTTTCCTCATCTTCCACAAAATGAACAAACAAAACAACATATTATTCAAATATGTAAAGAATATTATCATGGAAATACAAAAGAAATTAAATTAATTAATGAATTTGAAGAAAATTATCAAACACAAGATGCTATTCATTGGTATTTAAAACAATCATTTATATCTAAATTAATTAATAAAGCATTAAAAATAGAAGATATTGATTTTTTATATCAATTTCGATTTTTTATTAATGATCTTTCTCAAAATCTTCATGATCAACATGAAAAAATTTTATTATCAAATGAAACAATTTTAAATGTTTATCGAGGAATGAAACTTAATAAAGAAGAATTTAATAAATTAAAAGAAAATCAAGAAAAACTTATTTCTATAAATGGATATTTATTAACTAATCAACAAAAATCAAAAGCATATGATTTTATTAATAAACCAACTAAAAGACTTGATATTATTTCTATTATTTTTCATATACAATGTGATATAAAAAATCTTAATAAAAATATTATTTTTGGTAATATTAATCAATCAAATAATTATTTCAATGAACAAGATATTTTATTTGATTTAAATGCTTGTTTTCAAATCGAATCTATTAATGAATATCAATCAATACAAATAATTAAAATGAATCTTTCAAATCAAGGACAAATAATTACAAATAATTATATTGATTTAAAACAAAAATATAAAGAAGAACGAAGTATTTCAATTGTTTTTGGTAGATTATTTTGTAATTTAGGAGAATATGATAAATCACAAAAATTTTTTCAACATTTATTTCATGATTCAAATGATGAAGATCGTGCATGGATTGAATTTAATATTGGTCGTGTTCTTTCTTTTAAACGTGAATGGAATCAAGCTCGAATATATTATGATCATGCATATGAACGTATGATGAAACATAAACCACCACGAATAAAAGATTCAGCACATGTTCTTAATAATATTGCTTGTATACTTCCTAATCAAGGAAAATATGATGAAGCACTTGATTATCATCAACGTGCATTAGAAATTCGTGAAAAATTTTATCCATCTGATCATATTGATATTGCTCAAAGTTTATATAATATTGGTCGTATACTTGATCAACAAGAAAAGTATGATGATGCTTTTGAATATTATCAAGGTGCATTAAAAATTCAACAGAAAATTTATCCATCGAATCATGTTAATATTGCTAGAAGTCTTAGTAATATTGGTATTATTCTTTATCGACAAGGAAAATGTGATGAAGCTCTTGATTATCATCAACGTGCATTAAAAATTCGAGAAAAAATTTATCCATCTGATCATATTGATATTGCTTATAGTCTTAATAATATTGGTATTATTCTACGTAATCAAGGAAAATATAATGAAGCTCTCGATTGTTATAAAAAAGCATTAAATATTGAAGAAAAATTTTATCCATCAGATCATGTTGATATTGCAAAAAGTCTTAGTAATATTGGTAATATTCTTTCTGATCAAGAAAAATATCAAGAAGCTCTCGATTATTATCAACGAGCATTGAAAATTGAAGAAAGATTTTATCCATCTGGTCATGTTGATCTTGCACATAGTTTGAATAATATTGGTATTTGTTATGAAAATCAAAATCAACGAGAAATGGCACTTAATTATTATCAACATGCGTTGACTATTTATGAAAAATATCTTCCTATTGATCATCCACGTCGACAAAAAACTGAACATAATATTCGTCGACTTACTAAAAGAAACTCATTCAGTAAATGACACAATTACGAAATTTTAATATTTGAGATAAAGATTTTGTTATAGTGTTATTTATAATTGTGAATATTCGACAATATATGGAGATTAAATTTTCTGTATTAAATGATGATCGAGATTGATAAAAAAAAAAACTAGGGATCATGATAAAGGTTTATTTTTCTTGTGAATTAATTGTGAGAAAAAATTAATTTAATTTCCTTAGTTATAAATATTGAAAAATTAAGTTGAAATCGACTGTTGTTTTTTTGATCTAATTATTAAATTGCATTGAAAAGAATGTTTTGTTTTTTTGAAATGAAAATGGTTTTTCTGTAATATTCATTTTCATAAAATATGTTTTTTTTTTGAATTTAATTACAAGTTTTTATTGTACCTTGTTGTAAAAATTTAGAAAATCTTTTTCAAATAAAATTAAATCATAGCCCGTTCTATAGATAAATTATTTTTAGGAATGGGCAATAATGGATAATTAAAAATCAATTGAACTAGAGTTTTTTAAAGCTAATATCATCACAGAAATTGATATTTATTGAATAACAGTTCATGATCCTCAAGTATGAATCGAGTTCGTTCGTGTGCTTCTGTATTCAAGAGAACTAGAATTAAGATTTTAAATAGTATCAACAACAAATTTTCTACCGAATTAAAGTATGTCAAAAAAGTGAGACTTATTGTTAATAAATAGTAAGGATCATGATAAATTTTCAGTGTTTTCTAGAATTGAACGGCATCTCAGCATAGAAAAATTTCTTTCATTCGAGAGTTCAAACTAGATCTGATTTATAATGCGAGAAATATTCGAAGTAATCGAAATCTAGTCTGAAAATATTGAAATAATAATAAAAACTATGAGAGATGGAACATAAACTTTTATCATTTCAAAATTCTAAAAATAACATATTTCATATCTTTTGAAAAACACAAAAGCAAACATTGCATTATTTGAAATTGTTTTATCACGGGACTTGTTTGGTCTTCGTGATGTAACAAATACTAATGTCCGTCATACAAATTATTGATTATATTCATGAAATTTTTGGAAAAGTAACTATTACTTCCTAGGATTTATCATCCTAAATCAGGTCTAGTTTGAACTACCAAATGCAAGAATTTTTTCTATGTCTAGATGCCGTTATATTCTAGATATTTCATGGTTTTAACACTAAAATGTTACCATAACCCTAACTATGATTACCAATAAATCCTGTTTTTGGTGCGCTTTAATTCGGTATAAAACTTGTTGCTGACACTCTTTGAAATCTAGGCGCTAGCCTCCCTGGAATAATATTATTTCTCACTCTGTATGTGTATCAAGATTTTTCGGCATTAGACAATTAGTGTCAGTTAAAAATAAATCCCATAGGCACTTGCTTTTAAATTTGCAAGCTATTGCTCAATAACCTATACGACAGTGTACATTATGCAGAGGTCAAAGTCCAGTCAAAATCACTCCGAATTGTTTCCTACAAAGTGTTCACTATTTAGTAGATTTTTTTTCTCTTTCCCGTACAGCAAAGTTTATGTGAGTCTAGACAATCGATTCAAAAATCAATCAGAAGCATCTTTTAACGCATCATAATGTGACAAAACTTAATTATAAAAATATCGTCTCGAAAACAGAAACGTTGCCATGGATAAATCAAGAAAAACAAATAATTTCGATTTTTATTTTATGTTTATTTATTTAACAATAAATAACAAGACAAAAAAAGATACTTTAACAAAAACTATACAATAAAATGCAAAAAACATGAACATGTCTCTGACAAAAGTATTTCTAATTTTATTTCTTCTGATGTTCAATGGATTTTGTAGTTTCATTTTGTTCAATATAAGGTGCTTCAATTTTTAATTGTCTATCATCTGTTAAATGTGATTGTAATTGATCCATTTGTGTACCAGGTGGTAATGTTGTTGATTTAAAGAAGAAGGATCGTTCTGAACAATTCTTATCTTTATGTTGATGTTCATCTTGTACAATTAATTCATTGTTTTGAACTGATACTTTTATTTCATCTGATCGAGAATTTTTCATTTCAATTGATATTTCAAGTTGTTTTTGATTATTACCTTTATCAATAATACGTGGTTGAAAATCTGAACCAACTAAAAATTCAATATAATCAAATAATGGATCACGATATTGACCAAATTGTGCTAAACTTTGATTATCATTTTTTGCTTGAGCAACACGACGTTCTATTTCTGGATTATGAATAGCTACTTCAATAACAAGTATATTATTTGGTGTTACATATGAAGCTAAATGTTTTGAATCTATATGAAATTTAGAAAAAAGAAAACATTGATGAATATAAACGTTTGATAACAAAAAAAAATAATTTTTTTTACTTACCAGCATGTTCAGGTAATTCATAAGTTTTTCATAGTTCTCGAATATTATAATCACCATCCGGTTGACGATCTTCTTGTTTAGCTTCGACAATAACTTTTCGACCTTGAACTTTTGTTTTAATTGTTTCTGGATTGAAACCTGCTACGTTGAATTGAACACAATATTTTTCAGGATTTGGTGATCGTAATGTTGGTATAAGACTTTTACTTTGATTTGATTGATTACTTGATGGATGTGTTAATCGATATGGTTCATTGATTCATCGAAAAGCATTTGGTCGAATAGAAAGAGCTGATGGAAATGTATCAAAATCATACCAAGGATCGAAGAAATCTAATTGATCATCAAAGAATCGATCAACTGGATCATCAAATAGACGATAACGATGAATTGGAAAGAATGTCATAGCTTTGTAGAAGACAAAGTGTTGAGAGAGTTTGATAATCGCAGTTGAACGTTAAAATATCTGATTAGACCCATGCACTCACACATATAACTCAAACTTTCGGTAACAATATTTTACTTTTATCAGAAACTTTAATATAACTAATTAAACATCAATAAAAGCAGATGATATATATATATCAATGAACGTGAGTGAGAAAAAGATCATGAGGATATCAATCACTAAGAAAAAGGATATACAAGTGTTCTATACTGTTTTAATCGAATTGTGATTTTGCAATGTTTAGGAAATGAAGAACCTATGGATAGACTTGTTCTTTAAATGCTAGCAATGAAACATTCTACTTTTCTTTTGAATAAATTTGTTATAACATAATGATAACATTGTATTTTCAAATGCACACATTTTGTTATTCACAAAATAAATAAGAAAGTAAGATTTTTCATAAAAATGTGAATATCTTTAGTTGACAGGACTGACTGAGTAGAACTCTTCTGTTGATTACATATCATACTTGCTATATTTCCCAAATAGACTATGATTACGGCAGTAGAAAAAGTATGGATTAGTAATGTGTATATCAGTAAGTATAAAATAGTACGCGAGTTTTAATTATACAGTAAGTTCAACTGATGCGAAAACCAAATTAAGTAAACTTCTATGTTTGTTGCTTGACTTGAAAATTATTTAATAAAAGTAAATTCTCTATTCGCTTGTATAAATATAATAAAATTTATTATATATAATCGTTGAATTAGTTAGTACATAAAATGAATTTATTATTTCAAATTGAATAATTCATAATGGTCAAATGTTTTCCAAAATAAAAATCAAGATTTAATATTATTTTATTTGTAAAGAGAGCAGAAAAAAAAACAAACGGTGCTAAATAAACTATTGAAAAAGAAAAATGTTCAAATTAGTTCTAAGAATAAATTTCATCGAACTGTCATCATTCTTTGTCGTTCAATATTATCGACAATAAGAATTTCTTTCTTTGCTTGTAGTGTTTTTTCACCAACATAAGGTACAGATTCTGGATGATCAATATGATATTGTCGTTGTGCTTTTGTTTTTGTCCAACGATCTTGAAGATCAATTAATTTCCATTGTTTAATACGTCCATCTGATGTTCGACCAAATCTTTGATCATTATCTTTCATAGATAAAATACTTGGATCGAAACTTGATCTTGTATCTGGCAATGGTAATATTGTTTCATGAAAAGATACATCTTTATATGAATGTTGATAAGTTGAATGTGGTTCTAATTTTGGTTCAATAAAACGAGGAACAACTTCTGGACCAGGAAGACGTAAAATATTTTTAGCTGAATCTGGAAGTTGTTGAGGAATTTGTAGATATGGTGCAACTGGTGTTTGTTTTTTTTCAAAAAATTTATAAACAATCATATCGTCTTTACTTTTAAATGGTGAATCATAAATACGATTTGCCGATCGACGAGAATAACCATTTGTATGTTCAGTTATATATTTTGTTGCATATAATTCATCATAGGGTGATGGATGAATAAGTGGACCAATAAGAATATCATTGGGTTTTTCTTTATTATTATTATTATTATTATTATCATTATTATTAAATGATATATTATGTGCTGACTTCATTGGAAAACTATTCATACTTCGTGCTCGTTCAAGATTAGTATTATATTGTGTACTCATTAAACATGTTGGATCAGAACGTGCATGATGTAATAAAGTATTTTCTTGAAGAAATTTTCGTGTATTATATGATTGACCATAAGTTGATTCACGTTGAATAAATGGTTTATCACCTTCTTGAACACGAGTATTAACAGTACTTGCATCTTGTGGAACACGAAATTTATTAAGAAGACGACTCTAAAACAAGAAAAATAACAATATATATATTGATATTATTAATTATATTTAAAAAAAATTAAACAAACTCGTATAGTTTGATAATCATGAAAAGTTTTATATTGAAATAATTTTGGTTTTGATACATTTTGTGTTTGTTCACCAGAATTTAATAGATCACCAAGATAATTTTCATCTTTTAATAAATGATCATTTTCTTCTTGATTATTTTCTGATTTTTCAATATCTGGTATTGCTTGAGTTAATGCATTTGGATCATAATTAGTCGTATGATAAAGACCTGATCGTTCTTGAATATATGTACCAACTTGATCATAAAATGTATTAATATATGGATCACGATATTGTGGTAAAATTGGTCGAGCATGACGTGGATGTTGAAGAGTACGAAATTTAATATTGAGTAAATTAAGATTATCTTGTGGTCGAATAAGTTCTAATTTTTCAAGACGATTTTCAGCTTCAATTTGTTGATGACTTGCTTGATGGTCACGAGCTATTTGTGGAACACTTGCTGATGGTCGAAGATGATGTAAATATCGAATTTCAGGTTGTTGATTATTTGTATTAATAGAAGATTCGGATTGTGCTGAAAAGAAAATAGAAGATAACCACTTTATCATCTACATATCATATGTGACGATAGCAGAAATCTACGAAATACAAAAAAAGGATTCTTCCTTGAAAATCTACGAGCGAATTTTTTGCTATGAAATTCTTTAAACATATGAAAAAAAACATTCGGTATAAGAACTATGAAGCTATTTAGATTCGATTCGAATTCTTGTAGGTTTCAGTTTAGTTCTTAAGATGAAAAAAAAACATCTTAAGTATGTATATGTTTTTGCTGTTAACTAATTAGATAATGTTTTGCTATTTAACTTACGAATCCATGTTGCTGCTCGTTCTGTTGGAAACATATGAGCTGGTAAATTTACATAATTAGTTCCATTTCGCATATGATCATCAAGTTTTTCATTTTCACTCATAACTCTAAATAAAAACAAAAATTAAATAACAATAAAAATTCATTATATTTTTACTTTGTTGTTTCTGTTGTTGAATATTGTATTGATGTTCTTTGTTTATCTAATGCACTTGGTTGTCGATGATTACCATGAATATGAATAGCTTGCATACCTTCAATTGGTCTTGCTGGATCAAGTATTTTTTTAAAATATGGTTTCTATTTCAAAATAAAAGAGTTTGTTATTTTTATTTTATTTGAATAAAAAAACTAAATTTTACTAATTGTTCATTTGGTTGACGTGATACTGCTGTATCATAGACAATATGTGTACCAAGACCTTCACCACTTGAAAAATCATTTTGATATGATGATTCAAATAAAGATTTTTCTTTATTTTTAACTATATTTGTTCCAGAATTATCAATAGAACTATCATCATTTGGTACAAATATTTTTCGTGGCCAAGGATATATTGATGATGAAGTAAGATCACTTAATGAACGAGGTAACTAAAAACAAAGAATTAAATATTTGCTGTTGATCTTTGTTATTTAAGATTACATGCATATATTGTTTATCAGGCCATTTAAAATTTCGATGCAGTTGTTGCTGTAGTCCTTGATAATGTACTTCACGACGAAATGGATTACCTTTTTAAAGGAAAATGAAAACCAACAACATTAACATAGATTTCATATATATATAACAAAATCAGCATATACGATATTGAAGTAAATAAAAGAAAGAGAACATATTAAATTATCTTACCACGAATTTTATGTGTGACAATATATGGATCCATATATGTTGAAGGTTGATCATCAATATTAACACTTGCATTAGGAAAAAGTGCTTTTTCACTAATATGTGATGAAAATGGATGATTTGATGGAAATTTTAATGGTATTTGATGAGGTGTTATATTAGTTGTATGAAGTGCTGCAGGTATTCTATAGTATTAAATAAAATTATAAGAAAAAAGAAAAGTTTTATATATATATAAAAACATACAATTCATCATTTATTCGAACATTACTCAATGTAATATCTGTATTTCGATAATTTTGTGTAATTGGTTCGCCTCTAGAATTATTGATTTATAGAATTTTGTATTTGTTTGTAAAATTCTTACTTGTAAAGAAATGTTCCTGATGGATGAGCAGAACTTGGATCATTACTCAATGGAATACGTTTTTTACCAGTGCCCCAATCAACACCTGGTTTGATAACATCATCTGTTGCAGTTGGTTCCGAATTAAATAATACTAAACTTGTCATGGCGAACAAATGCACATTCAAAATGCAATGTTGCTACTATGTTCACTTTTACTGTTCGAATAAAAAAAAACACAAACCTACCATGTTTCCATTACAACAGTTAATGGTGATGTTGAATAACAATTGGATTAGTTAATAGTGAGAAGAACAACGTGTACATCAACAACAACAACAACAATAGAAAAAAAATTCTAATGAAATAGATTGATTTTTGTTTCACATTTGATAGACTATTTCACAGAACATTTTAAGACAGGCATAGTTCACATTTTAATAAGGAAGCATAGAAACCATATGTAAGTCGAAAGTATGTGTAATGGTGAATGTATAACAATAATTGTCATAAGTAGTCAATTAATTTTCAACAATTCAAACAATTTAAGTTTGACTATACGCATTTGTAACTCTCAAAAACTATACGATATATCTGCATTCCCATCGGTAACAATAAAAACGCATCTTTCTCTATTGAAATTTTGTTGAAAATATTCTAAGATCATTTTCACAATGAAATCCAATATTCATATAAAACGCAGCAAAAAAAATCCATCAATAATCAAATCACAAAGCAAAGAATATTGCAAATTAATACCTTATCAATATCAAATCTTATCTTAAAAATCAATATTTGTATGTCCCTAAATGATTTTTATCTTCTGATCTATTTTTATAAATTTTATTTTCATTGAAAAATTCACAACCGGTAAATGAACAATATTTATTGTTTTTTTTTTTTTTTTCTTTTTTTGTTAAAGATAAAAATGATACAAAGCAAAGCACACATACACGCATACAAACAAAAGAAATGAAATTAAATCTTAATACATAGATGCAGACTTTTTTTATTGGATACTTAATATCGAAAGAGAAAAAAAAATTATATAAAC